TCCCCTCCTCCTCCTCCTTCAAACAGAAGCAAAATGCCCGCTTTCATCCGCGGGGGTCGGTGCCGGTAGCTTTGCGAGCGCGCGCGGAGCGGGAGCCCCTCCTGCACGTAGGGCGCGAGCGCGGAGCCAGCCGCCCCGCTCCTGCTCTATGGGAAGTTTTGGGGGGGCTGCACGGGAGCAGCAGCCGCAGCAGGTACGTGGCCGGAGTTTTGCAAGAACTTCTTTGTTTTAATGGGCTCTGCGCAGAGGGGTTGGTTGGTTTTTTGAGGGTTTTTTTTTTGGCACTTTCTTTCCATTTCCGACCTTTCTCTCCTTCCCCCCCCTCCCCCCTTAAAGTTAGAAGGTGGGAGAGAGACTTTCCTAGATCTCAGTAAAAATGGCTGTCAAACAGCCCTTAAGTTACAAAAACCAATGGTTCTCCAAAAAAGTCTTTTCCTCTTTTTTTTTGTTTTGTTTTGTGTCCCACCCCCTTTCTTCTTCTTCTTCTTTTTCTTCCTCTCTCTTTCTTTGCAGCGCCTGCCCGGCTGCTCTGAGAAAGGATTTTGAGGCTTAATGTCCCGCCGTTGAACTGCAGCTTTGCAAGCAGCAGCTGCTTTTACCCCCCCCCCCCCAATCCGCTGCTCCCAAAGAAGCTGCTTGTTATTTTCATGCCTGTTTCATGGGGTTGGAAGTTTGGGGCGGTAGGAAACGCATCTGTCACATCTGGAGGAGTGGAAGGGCTAGGCGGGATTGCTGGGGAGGACAGGGAGGTTTGGCTAGTGGGGCTGGCAGGATTTTGGATTCCTCTGTGCGGGCTCCAGAGGAGGGGTGGGAGCAGGGAAGGCGAAAGGGAAGGTGGCTGGCTTAGGGCAGAGGAAAAGTGAAAGTTCTGCCTTCTCTTTTTATGATCTTTGTTGTTGTTGCTGCTGCTGCCACCGCCTTGGGAACTTTATCAACTTGGGAAGCTGCCTAAACCAAGCTGCTGGGACCTGGGTCTCTGGGCAACTTCCCCCCCGCAAAACCCCCTCTCCCTCCATCTCTTCTCACCCTTTCTTGCAGTGCGCGGAGAAAAATATTGCAGGGGCAGGATTGGGTATGAATCACTCCAGACAGTTACTTTCTCCGCCTGGGGTGAGTAGTGTGGGAGAAGCGGAGGGATATTTCATCCGTTGATGCCCAGCAAAGTGATGTGGTTGAGGACCTCTGCAGCTTTTCACATCTCATCCCTTCAGAGGGTTTCAGGAGAGTGGATGCTGTTGTTTTAACTGGCCTGTGAACTTCGGGTGTTTACAGACGTGCACACACACATGCGCTGATAAAGTTGCAGCTTCCAACTCCTGACACCACGTGAAAAGGAAAGGTAAAAGGAAACCTCCTCTACCCCCTGATTTTTAATTTTATCCCTCTGGTGCATAGTTTTGATCCGGTCCTTTGGGTACCATGTTTGTGGCCTTCTGCCAGTTTATATGTAGATATATTTATGTAAAACATTTTCTCTCAGCTCTTTGCCAGCTGTTCCACATTTTCCAGCTGCCACTTCAGTTTGAAATGATGGGCTGTATGGATCTCAAAGTAAAAGAGTCTTTTTAGTCAAAGGTATGGATGGCTGTCCACTTGCTATATGATGTTTAGAGTCTCATTAACCAAACCAGCCAGCAATACACACTACAGCCCTCACTGCCCCTTCTCCCCCCACTCCCACCCTCCCTGCCTTTCGGGGCTGCACTCCACACCCCATCCCCCCCTCCCGTTTTATTTCCAAGGTTTAATAAAGCATGTATTTATTTTAAGGTTCAACATGTACATTTAATTTGTTCTATGTTGCTCTCAAAAGAACTCAAATGTAAAGTGTCACAGAACCTTTGAAATTTGTGACTAATTAAATTAACAAACATTTTAGGAGGGCGCCAGTCCCTCTGTCTGTCTGTCTGTATACATGATATATGTATCTAGATGGGAATCACTGAAGTCCATTTAAAACTGAGAAATCACTAAGTTTTCCTGCATTGTGCAACTGTTTTTGGATTTGGGCATTATAAATTGAAATCCACAAGAATGGGCCTGAGTATTCTTGAGTATTTGTGCAGTTGCATTGTAATTTGGAAAGGTGCCTCACTGATTGATTTCTATAATTATTTCATTTGGGTCCTTTATTAAAAATTAATAATGATCTGACAGTTTCCTAATTACATATGTCAAGATTATTTTGATGGAAGAAAGATGCTATTTTTTTTAAAGTAAAGTAACCTTAAAATGTAAAAAAAAAAATAATTTCTGAACACACGACAGTATTTCAGTTGAAGGATTAAAGGTAGTAGTCAGTGAATATAACAATATAGAGTGTACAAAGTCTCCAGAGAATTAGTTTATGTAATGAAATTTTGGGTTTTAACTGGCAAGTACATAAATACTTATAGTTTGTTAATCTGCAGTCAAATTTAAAGCATAAATAACGTTACTCTGTGAGAGAAAGCTACTCTTAAGGGGAAGGTAATTTCTTTTACTCTAAGGACTGTGTGGTTTAGGAATCCCACAAATGGGAAAAGGACATTTTTAGTGTACGCAGTTCTTTTTTATTTTAAAAAAGAAGTAAAGGAAGTAAAACTATGGTTTAAGGTATCTGAATCAATGCATTATTGCACTCACATGATTGCACATGGCTTTCAGTATGACCTCCTGTTTTCCAAAGCATTATTCTGCACAAGTAGCGTAAAACAAAGACATCACCTGTAGTTTCCTTACTAAGTAGAATAATGTTTCATGCCTAAGACATACACATTAGATAGCACATTTATCAATGCACCTGTAAATTGTATCTGAAGGTATGCGTTTATAATTTGAAATAAAAACGAGGTATTCTGTAGCTAGGTTGTAAAGGTCATATTTTTTTTTAAATCTTGGGATTTATGTGGTACATAAGCTGATATAATACGGCTCTTTCCATTAAGCTATTAGAAGACTTCAGTTCTTTTTGTAAGCTACTTAATCAAAATATTTTAAATCATCCATTTGAATCCAACCCAGAAAACTTTGAATGACATATGTCTGGCTTATTTTTGGCAAAACTATTTTATTACCTGCACTCAGCAGCAGGTTTGATCTTAGCTCTGAATTCAAGTAAGGAGTGAATATTTTTTTTGCAGTGCTCTTGTGAAGTTAGCCGTCTTTGCTTGATTACTAAGGTATATGATGCTTATTAAAGCAGGATCCATTTGGAGGGGGGGGAGAAGGGGGTTATGAAAGGAAACAGTTTAATGATCATTGTTGCATGCACTCAAGTATATGGAGACAGTAATGTACCAAGAAAAAGCAGACTTGAAGGAAAAGTGAATCAATGAGTCATGAAATCCTCAGGAAAACCTTAGTAATGGAATGTTAATGCTTTTAGGCTATAGTAGATTATCTTAAAAGTCAGACTTTTTTTCTTTATGCAATTGTTGTAAATCCCTAGCTAAAGAATACTTTGAAGAAGGCTTTAGTTTTGCTGGCACTTAGATTCTGTAGTCAGTCTGATTGTTTTGGAAAATTCAAGAAATTTTTTGCCAACTTGCAGGTAGGCAATTAAAATACAAAAATGGCTATAGAAGAAGATATTTAGTCAACAAAAGGTTCCGCTTGAATAATAATTTCAAGTTGTCTTTTTCACCATAGGTTTTATAGACACCTCTCATTAGACTTTGTCATTTTTATATGGGAATTGATTTGTTATATTTTAAATCACATAGTATGAGACAGAATAAACAAAAATAGGGCATGGGTGCTGCTCCAAACTTTTCAAGTACTTTCAGTGTATTTTTCATCTTTACTTTTATTTGATAGGTCTGTGAAATAGAGCTGTAGACTGGCAAAGACTTTAAATGAAATTTCACACTTTGATGATTTTTTTCAACTTTGATATATTGACAGCAAAAGGAGCTGCAAAGCTTTTATATAACTTGAGCAGTAACGCCAAGCAGCAGTCAAATGTCTCTATGCATTTGTGTTTAACTGCAGAAGAAAAACATGTCCATGGGCAGCAGAGGTTCTTATCAACTCCCTAATCCCAGATCCCAGCAAACCTTGAGGGCATGCCTCAGATCTTGCTGAAATCATTGTAGACTCTCACAGTTTGCAGATTAAATATGCTATGTGTTCCTGGCTCCAACAACAGTTTTATGAGCTCACTAAGCTTCCTGTTTTAAGATCCCTTTCTGAAGTTTTTAGGAGCTGCTAAAGGCAATGCTGTCTGGAGCAAGTGGTACTTGTTAATTTAGAGACACTTTAGATATTTCATTCTGTCTGTAAAAATAGCCAAAATTGTTATTTTTCAAATTGGAAGTTGAGTTGTACTGAAAAGCTCCTTTAAAGAGTGATGCTGTTGTTTTAATATGATTATAAATACAAAAAGTTGCAAAGTTTATATGAAACATAATTTGTTTTATGATGGCTTGATTCTGACTAGGGGAATTAAAATAAGACTTTTTCAGCTGTAATTCCAAGCACAACGTATCTTTTAGTTCCTAATTTCTGAGCCTCTTGTAACTGATTGTTTCCTAGGCTGCTGTAATGCATACCATTTAAGGTGTTTTTTCCCTTCCCCTAACAATATCAACAAAAAGAAAATGTTTTCTGCAAAGGATGAATTGCAATCATTCAAATAGTTAACACTGGGGATGGTTGGCTGTCAGGAAGATACAATATTATACTTTAAATTCTGTGCTTTAACTACCCTCTAGCTGGTGAATACTTAACTCCTATATTTTATTCACTGTAATCGTGTTTATGTATTTGGCGTAATAATCTTAATTAAAAAGGAAAATACTTATATCATTATCCAACAACATGTGTCATGTTATTCCCAAGAGAACTTGAGCCAATTTTGTGCTTAAAGGTTATTCAGTGAATGAAATTGTGAAAGCCCATTTGTCAAGGTACTGCATGGTTTCTGTTAGTTTTCAACCCCCAAATTCATTGTCTGCATGGCCCAGTCATTAGTCATCAGTGTATTAGTGCTGCCTTCAGGCAATGCTGCCCAGCACTTCTTCACACCATTATAGCTCTAAAAGTGTACTCTGCCGACTTGTAGAATTACTGCTCTGATTTCCGCTTGGCTAGGTTTGAGGTAAGTCCCCTCCCTACCTTCTAGCTCACTCTAATCCCTGCTTTCTTTTAAGGCTGCTTTCTGCAGAGATTTACAGGAAAACTTTCTTAAAGACTGTCTTGGCATCATACTGT